GGCCATGAAGCCTGAGAGCTGTCGAGGAGATTGGTGCAGGGGGTTATGGGTTCTGGGCCCCTGCACCTCTGGCTGCTGACAGGCAAAACTCGTGACATGGGTGGGTGACAGTGTGTGTGTCTCTGTTAAGGTGCGCCCTCACTCAACTGACACCAAGGCAGAAAGCAGGGCACTTCAAACAATGCTGCCTTCTTTGCAGTTTTTCCATCCCTCCCCCAGAGCACTGGAATTGGAAGGGACCTCAGGGAAGGATGACAGTCACTGGCCAGCTACACACAGTCAATATCAGAGTAGTCCTTCCCCCACTTTCTCCCTGCCTCTCCTTATTTTAGTTTCTGTTTCCCTGCAGGCAAGCCCAGCTTGAGCTTCGAAACTCGAAATGTTTTGAATATTTCAAAACGTTTCAACTTACCTCGTTTCGTTTCAAGGCTGTTTCGAAGCTCTCTTCCATTTCAATTTTGTTGTTTCAAGCTCGAAACAAGTCGAAACAGCATTGAAATGAAACTGCCATCAGAATTTCATGCAGCCCTATTTCCTGTCATAGAGCTGGTCTGATGGCTCCATGACCCTCACTGGGCCTGTGGTGGTGTGTGGTGCTTGGGCAAGGCAGCACTTTCACTCCCCCCTGGATTTACACAAGTTTATAAGTTGCTATAGTAGATGGTACAAAGCATATCAGCATCATCGAGTGCAAGGCTAGTGCTTTAGAGTAGAAGGTTGATAGAATAATGAAGTGAAGAAGATGGAAACTTCAGTGCCAAAAGCATCAGGTTCTCAGTATGCTGCTTGGGTGCTGAGCCATTGGCACTATAAGGCATGTGAGCTGCACTGGTTGCCACTTGTGATTGTGAAGACTTGGTGGCAGGCTGATGTTAGGAAGGAGATCTTTGGGAGAAGTTCTTCATGGGGGTTCTGCCCCTGGAACTCCCTTTGCCCTTCACCTTACCTAAAGAAGTTCTTTGGTCCTCTTGGCTGGAGAATACTATTTTGAATAGCAAGGAGCCCATGTATGTATGCTTTCTGTTTCCCAGTAGTCATGCCCATAGGCATCTTGGAGTCTTGAGTCTGATGCCAGCATCACAGATTTGCCTAGGGGGTACATCTGTCCTTGTGGATCTGTGAGGTGAAGGATTTACTTTTCAAGATGAGGGATTCTCTCAAGTACCAGAGCTATTTCAAGTGTCCATCTGCTGCTGGTATTGACATGGCATAAGAAGACCATGATCTGAATCCAGGCAATCTCAAAGAGGTTATTTTGGATTACAAAGTTTAGGGAAAATTACATGATGTCAATAAGTGGCAAAGCTAAGTTCTACTAAAACTAAGGTAAACTAGAATTAACTTTGAGGTAGTCTGGAAATTGGAACTTGGATGGTGATAAGCTCCATCTTGAGCCAAAGGCAGCTGAAAAGAATTGAGAGGGTGGTCAACCTGCTCTACTCTTCCTTGGTGTGAGGCATATGAAATCCCAGGATGTATGTACACTGTACATATACTGCTGGCCAAAACTTCCAGAGCACAGGCAAATGGAGATACCTACACACCAATATTGGTGTGCATATGGAGGGTGGGAGCTGTCATATTTACTGTTGTCTAGAACATGTGCTGTTTTGGATAAGCAGAAAGCTCTGACAACAGGTTTTGGCTGCTGCATGAACCTCCTACCCTCTGTGTCCACAGCCAGTGGTATACAGGATAGCACAGGTGCAGGGAAAGTCTTCCAAGAGATGACTTCGTTGTAAGGAAAGTTGCAAGTATTTAGTAGGACTGGTGTAAGAGTTTTTTTGCTTCCTCTGTTCTGATCCTATTTTTTCTTATCCATACTGTTTGGCTTATCAGGAAACGCTGTCCAATAAAGACAATGCCAATAATGGAAAGTAATTTAGTTAAGAAGGTCTTTTCAGGGCAACAGAATTAGGATTTTCTTGTCTTCTATAAATTGGGGCAAACTATTATAGTAGAGTAAGTGCTATTATAGTAGAATAAATCTGGTATGATTCATCTGGCTACAAAAGATTAATTTCAGGCTTATGCTGGAGTGACTGGACTTATCTTTTTTTCCATGAGCACAAAATACAATGACTTACAGGAACATATTGGTAGTACCAAAATGAGAGGGAGAGAATTGCTTTAGGACTGGAGGGGCGATTTTTTGGTACAAGTAGTTCCAGGAACCAAGGTACAGAAGTGGCATATGGGAAATGCCATTGCTGAAGAGTTTCATAAGTTTAATGAACTTATGAAACTTATGAACTTATGAAACTTTGGAGTTATGCTTCCAAATTATTGCAACTCACTGCATTATTTCATATTGCTGGATCAGCTATCCAGGGAAACTGTTAAGTCTCCTATCTGTTTGGCATACCTGGAGGGGGTGAGCATTGCACTGAATGATGAGCTTTCAAGTCTTCCTCAAAGTCCAGCAGAAAATCTTCCAAGTCACGTTCATCTGTGGGGGCAGGGGAAAAACCCAGATCTTTAGACTCTGGTTGTATAGAAACTTTACTAGTGTAACTTTTGGGAAGTGGCTGTGCAAGTTTAATGTTTGGCCTTGATGTCTCTTAACAAAACCTAAACAGACTTTGGCTATTTGGTTTTGGATTAGCTAGGGAGGACTGATGTAAACAATGGCATTCCCAGTCCCCTAAAGATAATTTGTTTCAGAAAGGTGTCCTTCAAATACTCTAGCCATTGAAGAGAGGAGGCTTTTCCTGACATCTGAGGAATACTAGGTAAAGATACTGCTATGCTATCTCTCAAAATTTCTGCTCTGTTATGTTTGTTTCACACCCAAACACCTCCACTGATTACAACACGTAATCCCAGAACATATATTTCCAAGCCAGCAGCAATCTCTGACAGTGAAGCCCTGAACCATCCTCCTATTGAGCGGGAAGCCTAGCTAGAGCCATTTTACTTCCTCTCAATTTTGGGAAGAGTTGGTCATCAGCATTATGTTATTTGCTGTTGGGTCACATAGAGCAGCCCTTGGTATTAGCAAGCTAAGTGATTTGTTTTTCATAGGCAAAACATTAGAAATCACACTCTGCGGTGGTGATTGGTATGGTCCATTCAAAGTGATGGCACCCCTTGAAAGGGTATTAGGAAACAATTCTCACAGTCTGAGAGTTGCATCCTACTCCCATTAAATTCAATAGTAAAATTCCCATTGATTTTACTGGAGCAATCAGGAGCATTTAAGAATGTTATAAAGGCAAAGGGCAATATTATACACTAGCCAATTGCCTGTTATGAATGACAGATTTAAAATAACTAAGGCGTGTCTACCTGGCCCCCCCCTGTTCACTGTTCAGGGCTGGCAATGTAAACACTCCCTGTGCTGCCACCACTGCCGCTTCCTTCAGCCACCGGTGCAGGGGCTCCCTCCCCCCACCCACCTCCATCTCCTCACCTGAGCAACGGGGCTTCTTCCCCCCACCTCCCTTCCCCTCCATGTTCCCTTCTGTCCCTGCCACCTCCCTCCCCCTGCCAACTGTTGGATGTGTCTGCGCCCGCCTCCGCCTGCTTCCACCTCCTCCACTGAGCAGCAGGGCTTTCCCCCGCCTCCCTGCTGGCTGTTGGGTGCCCGCCTCTGCCTCCTCCCCACCTGGGCCCATGCAGCCAATTGCCACCTGTCCTCTTGAAGCTGACCAAAAGCATTATGGACAGACAGACAGACAAAGCTCTTTATTATATTAGAATTTTACCTTGAATTTGTAACATGCTGGTCTCTCTCCTGTGAAAATCATCAGTGCTGCTATTCTCATCTTTGTTCCACTGGCTTGGGATTTTGTAATGGCTCTCACAAGCTCCAAACGCACAGCACTGGTAAGCATATGGCATTTCCATGACCCTGTATATTAACAGAGAACTATGACATTACATTTGTTAGAAAGGTGTACTTCAGTAGGGGCTAACTTTCTTGGCAGGTGTGCCACAAATTAGCCCCACACCTTCCCTGAGTGCCACTCTCATCCCCTTCCCCTACCTGATTGGCTGCTCTGCTTCCTGCTCCCTGCCCTGTGTCCCTGCCCAATTTGCTACTCTACTTTCTGCTCCTGGCCCTGTGTTCCCTGACTGATTTGCTGCTCTTTCTGTTTCCTGCCCTATCTGGCACTGTGTTGCCTGTTCTCTTTCCAGTCTGCCAGGTGTTGCACACAGAGGGTGCATGTGCCTCTTGGCCACACATGCCACAGGCTTGACTGCCTTTTATCCTGGCTCATTATGGTTAACATGGGGAGAGATGAACTAAGTTACATAATGGTTGAAAGTAAAAATTTCTATGTTTAAAAAATCTTATTAACGCAGTGTTAGGGTTGCACAGATAAAATTACAAGTCAGAAAACGCAAAGAGTTCCAAGGCATATTTTAAAAATACAGTGTGCTTGCATCTTATTTATTTCATAACAGATAATTTATAACATATTTACTGATACGTTAAATTGTCTAGTCCTGCTATATTAAATATATATCTGCAGTGCAGTTGAGTGAATGTTGCTTCCAAAACCATAATATTTGCCTTTCCTGACATCTAGTGATTTTAACTGTTTTAACTCTCTAATTTATCCATGTCATTTCCTTAGGTTTATTTTTCTTTTAAAAAGAGAGATTCAAGATCATCCTACCTGGATTATGAGTACGACCAAAACCTCAGTCCACAAGCCCTCACATTTTGAGGCCATCAAGATTAATTTGAGATTAGATTTAAACTTTGTCCATCTGTATTTTAAAATAGCAGAAGGGAGTTTTATCCCTTGGACAAAGATCAAGAGTGGGGACTTATAAACTGAAATGTGAATGATTTGAAAATTTTGAAATGTGTGAAAAAAGGATGTTACAAAGGAAATTGTTTTATGATTTTTGTTATCATGGGTGATTTCTGTTATGAGGTGTTGACATTCATAAACTAGCCCCTTTTAGAATGTGTGTATTTCCTATGCTGATTTAGGATTTCACATTGACTACTGGATTTCAGTTTATTATACTCCTAGGAAAGTTGCAGGTCTCATACATTTTGAAGTCTGTTGCTCTGTAGATATTTCAAAATGGGGTGGGTACAAAGAAATGCCTATGCATACGGTGGAAAAATACAGGTGACTATGGGAGAAATATAAAAGTGCAGACAGAAGTAACAATTGAAACATTTCAAATGCCTTTAGAACAGGATGGGCAAAATATGGCGCATGGGCTGGATCCAGCCTGCCAGGCCATTCTATCTGGCCCATGGAGCCCCTAAAAAATTTAGAAAATTAATATTTACCTGCTCCTGGCTGCCTGTCAAAGATGACAGGAGCCATGGGTAGTAGGACCCAGGGGGAGCCGCCAGCAGGACGCAGCCCAATTCCACCCCACCCCCAGCCATTTCCCTGCCTTCTTAGCCCGGCACTACTCCAGCACCATGTGGCTCCTGGCTGCATCGCCGGACAGTGGGAGTACAGTCCCCCGGGGGGGTGCGTGTGTTCATAGGGTGAATCCCACATGCACACCCTACCATACACATGTGTTCCCTCCCCCATCACTGCCATACACACAGACCCCCACATCCCCTCACACACGCCAACTACCTTCCCCCCACACAGCCCCCTATAAACCCTGTACCTACCCACACTCCACATATCCACACACACATGCTTCCTCATCCACCCCCACACCTATCCACCCCCACAGACACTCGCACTCTCCCCCACATTCCCCCTACCCACACACCCACAGCCCCCACAAACCTATAGCCACCCTTCCCCCTCACAATATGCAGGAGTAAGACTTCATTTTAAGCTATTATATGCCAGTCACCTCTACGTACACTATACAAACACATACAAACCAGGACAAAAATATTTATTGAAATCGGATTAATGAATGTTCTAGATGTTTGCTTTTTAGAATATAATTTGATACTTTTCTGGTTTTGAGATGGCAAAACCCCTTGCTGAAAGGAGTACTTCTGGGGGCAAGGGGAGGGACTTCTGATTGCAAAGGTCAAGGGTTAGGGGGCAGGACTTCCACTCACAAGATGGCAACCAGGGGGCGGGGCACCTGTCAAGGGGCCAGGCTACCCATGCGGCCTCAACAGCTTGCCAAAACTCAATAAGTGGCCCTCCAGCCAAAATAATTGTCTGCCCCTGCGTTAGAACGCTTCAAAAGATCAGCTGCAGAAATGTGCATGCACTCTGAAATATTCCCAAAGCAGCTGAAGAATGCCCAAATTCCTTTTTAAAAGGGTACTGCTTTGAAGTGTTTCACTTTTTGTTACATGTGCATAGGGACAGAGGGACCCATAAGTTTTTCTCCACAAGGGAGGGAGGGAGAGCTGGGTAGACAACCTGGCAATCTGACTGCCAGCTTTCCAGCTCTCCTGCTACTGCATCCTGCTCTGTGTACCCTGTTGGGGTCCCTGCCAGAACCTTGTTCTCCAGCCCCTAATCCCTTCTGCTACCTCTTCATTTCACCAAGAGAGGGAGAGAAGAAGTTTTGGGTTGAAGTGTTAGAATCCTGGCAGCCCCTGCCACCCCTTCCCCCCACAACCACCCTCCTTCCACCCCCCCTCCCAAAAAAAGATCCCTGCTCTCCACTGTGGTGTTCTCTGTTCTTCCCTCTACTTCCCCTCCTTGTTGGGGAGAGAGGGGGAGAAAGCTGGGGGTGGAGATGTAGGTTGATGCAGCCCCCTATATTATCCCCTTGTTGAATTCTGAAGGTTTTCAGCTGAGGACACCACAGTGGCTCTTTTCCCCTTTTTGAAACATTTCTAGCCCTGTTACACTTGGAGACATTTCAAAAGTTACTTCTGTCTGCATGCTAAGTTTGTTAAGCTTTATAGATCACCTCTCGGTGGACTCTGCTATCTGTTCCCTGATGGTTGGTAAAGAAACATTCAGTCTACACAGTTTTTCAATTGTATGTTTTAATTAAAAGCTAACACTTAACAATAAATAAAAACAGATCAGTAACTTCACATAAATGGAAATAAACTAAAATGGAATACTATCAGCTTATCAGGTTATTTTCATCAGGGTAAGCAAACAGTAAATGAGTTCTATATAAATTGTAATCATCTGGCAAGGTAGCAGTCAACAAAGCAATCAACCCAAATAAACGGGGCCTTTGAACTGCCAGTTAGGGTTTAATGCTTTGTAGTGAAAGGCATAGTAGAGAGAGGAAAGAGCTAACCCACAGGCTTTAAAGCTAACATTTAAATTATAATTTAAATAATCAGAAAAGAAAAATAAAACTGCTACTTGCTCAGATTTGTACCAGTAATTGTCAACAGGGGTATCTCAGGCTTGTTTTGAGCGTGCCATGGGGTGCAAGGTGATAATCACTTGCTCTTCCCCACTCAGCCCCTATATAAAGTACTGCAGTGGCAAGCTCACCTTGTCCTTGCTGGACCCTGTCTGAGGGAGTTAAGCGCTTGATCCTCCCCTTTGCCCCTGTGGGAGCAGCTAAATGCAGGTTACAATGCAAGGAGGTAAGCTCATCCCTACCCTTCTGCTCTGTGGGGAACTAAGTGTTCACTCCTGCTCCTTTCCCCTGCTCCTCCTGCCAGGAGTTAAGTGCTGTAATAAATACATTAGCCACTGAATTGGGGTGCTGCTCAATTCAACTCACAGGAGTTAGAGGGGTGCTGGGACCCTCAGAAAGTTGAAAACCACTGGAGCTAGGTACAGACAGTCAAAAAGCCTGAGGCTGAATTGATTCAGTCTTTGCAGGTTAGCCTAAACTGCACAGATAGAACAGATTAGCAAATGGACAGACATTCACTTTTGATTCAGGAAATGCAGCCACATGCCTGCAGTGGCTCAAGCCAGAAGCCAGGGGGTGCTAGAGCATGCCTCCCAGCCACTGTCAAGGGGAAGGGAAGACAGAAGCCCTTTAAGGCTCTTACCCCTCCCTGCTTGAGTAGAGGGGGTGTGGCCAGGTAACATCCCAGGGCTAGCTTGCTGGAGAGTGGGACTTTAAATCCCCTCCTTGGCCCACACGGGACTCCAGCCCGGGTCTGTGAGGTGGAGGGGAGGGGAGCGCAGTGCCTGCCAGGCTTCTACCCCTCCCCCACTCATGGGAGTGGGGGCAGCCACTGCCAGACTGAGAAGGGAGTGGGGGGAAGTCAGTGGAATTGAATTCATAAAAGCTTGAATAAGAATAGTCCTTTCTGTGAAGTAAGCATGTATTGAACACCTCACTTTGCAACCTCAAGCACACAACTAAGGTTACCATATGTCCGGGTTGTCCTGGACATGTCTTCTTTTTTGGTCCCCTGACCTCAGTCCAGACGGGGTTTTAAAATGCAAGCAAATGTCCGGGGTTTTGCTCTGCCTCTGCTTTTCTCTGGGACTTGAGGCTTGGCTGTTTGGACCTGGGGTCAGCGGGGAAAGGTGATTGGTTGTTGGGGGATCAGGTGCTGTGTGTGGGCCCTGGCAGCTGCTGGTAGGTGAGAGAGAGAGAGAGAGAGCATGTGCATTACATGGGCAGCAGGGCTGGATGGGGCAAGGGGCTATGGGTCAGAAGCGAGGGGCACTGGGAGGGCTGGGTGGTGGGGTACAGTGGGTCAGGAGTGAGAGGCAAAGCAGGTCTGGGGGGATCCTGTGACTTGAGGGTGCGGGGTAAAGGCAGGGCATGGACATATCACTGCCCCCCCCCCAATCATATACTCCTTTCCCCTC